TGTGTATATATATATAATAGGTAGAGAGGGTTAAGGGGTAGGGTTCAGGGCCTAGGGTGATTCAGAATTCTTTTCGGAGTTGAGAAGTTGCAAGGTCAAGGAAATTATTTGGGCAATGGTTTCACTGGAAACTATACGATGAAAGGGATTGTCATGACTGAGACAGCGCTTTGTGGGAAGGGTTTTGGGTTTGGCGTAGGGTTTTAGGGCCTCAGCTTCCTAACACTAGCATCATTCGAGACTACTTTGCAGCCTCTGTACAGCTCTCTACAAGGCCTGGGGACCCTATATAAATCTGAACCTTAAACCCGCCCTAAACCCTAAACCCTAAACCCTAAACCCTATAAACCCTAAACCCTAAACCCTAAACCCTAAACCCTCTACATCTTAACAATCACATGTGTAAGCCTTAAGGTAACCCTTCGCCACTGAAGCTGCTGCGCTGCGTGGCCTTCTTCGAGAAGTCTGCGAGCTGGAAGTAGCTTGCCTCAAGCTCCGCGGAATGGGTTGTCAAAGTTGTGCCTCAGCATAGTGTGCGAAAGAGGGGCTAATGTTTTGAAAGGGTGCAATCTTGAAAGCCTAAGTTGCGAAGTTGATCCTGGTGCTTCATTCCCGCCAACATGATGGGAAGCATTTTCGACTCCTTCAAGCACTCCGTGCATTTTGAATCGCCCAATTCATTGCTCCAATCGCATCATCCATTGGCATCATCCTTGGATAACATGTTCCATGCTAGGCTACATGAGACTCTCCAGTTAGTGCATGCTGCCTGCTACCAGGCTACTCTTCCTTCTTCCTACCCACCCCGCTGGAGCCATCGTCCCTGCCTTTGCCACCTTTGGCGCCGCCTTTTCCGGTCTTCCCAGCACCCTTGCCACCGGCCTGCGTATCCTCCACTGCTCGGGCTGGCTCGACGAAAGAAGGTTGCAGGAAGCCGTGGGAACTGGAAGCGACCATAGCATCCGCAGCCTGTCGTGTGATTTTCTGTGCAGTCCCGGTTCAGTTGGCACACGCACTATATAAGGAAGGGTAATCAGGCCTCAGACGAAGTCGGCACCTCAAGCGCGCCAGTCATCTCTTGAAAGTTTTCATTGACGTCGTCATGGATGTGGCTCAGGTCAACGCAGACCTGAAAGAACAAAGACATATCCACTTCACAATACCTAAGCCTATAAGCATTGCCAGGCATGTCCATGCAAGCAAGAATCGTAGAAGAGAAGCATCGTTCTGTCTCCGGGGAAATCCGGATGAAATCGCACCAATCCCTCACGAGTTTTTCTTTCTATCAATTCATCCACTGCCGCCTCGGATTTGTGCATGTCCAAGAGCTGGGTTCTGCTGCGCCATCCTGAGTAAACAAAACCCGTGCAGCCATGCTTTGCAATCCCCTCCAGTGAACACAGGGCACAACAAAGCAACACATGTCGAAGCAGGCAAGCTGATCTAAGGTGCCCATGATGCTGCGACCGCAACGGCGATCCCCACGCCGCTTCACGACTTTGAACGTCAGCCTTCGCGAGGTTATACGTGCATGACAAAAACGTAAACTTCATACATAGGTCGCATGTTGGGGGAGGATTACGTACAGGTTCAATCTTAGGTTAAAGGTTATAGGGTCAGAGGAGTTTAAGGTTAAGGGTTAGGGTCTGCATGAAGAGTCTAGGGTTTACTTTTTTGGGTCCAGGGGCTCTATTCGATCCAGGGCTTATAGGTTCCCTCGATTTAAGTTGGGTTGCCAAATCCTACGAAACCGTTTGAACCGCATCAGCATCAACAGCATTGGTAGTCCACAGCGTGCTCACTGTAGCAAGTATTTTTAATCGGAATCGTATAGCTTATGGGGGCTATGGGAGCTACCCAGGCAGGTGAAAGGTATATAGGCACCCTAAACCCCAAACCTTAAACCCTAAACTCTCCTAAGATTCGTTTAAGAGTGTAGCCTGCCCCAATCTCCAGCACACTTGAGGAACAGCTGGAACAACTCATTCTTCTTGGTCTTGCTGTTTGATGCTATGGCTTCAGCCCAGGCTTGGCGGAACTGCTCCGGGATCGCATCGGATCGGGCGCTCTCGAGCTGCCTGCCATGCGTCAGTATAGGGTCTGTAGGGGTTTAGGCTCAGGGTGTATAACGTTTACTGGCACATTGCCATTGATTTGTCCAAAGACACCTCTTCATGATCATGTAGTAGGACTGGCGCTCCTTGTAGCTGGAAGGCGTAATTGCAGCCTTTGCTGCTCACATGGAAGCCGAAATAGCGATCTGAAGCCCTCAACCCTATAAACCCCAGACCCTAAAAACCCTAACCCTGGACACCAAATCCCTAAGCCATAAATCTTTAATCCTATACCTTAAATTCTAAACCCTAAATCCTAAACCCTAAATCCTAAGCCGTGTATAATGGTGGCTGGCAACGCCAGGAGCCACAGTAACGTTCAACGGTTGCGAAGATGTGGCAGGGGCTGGGGCTTTGGCATGCACTGCAGCCTTGGGGGGCACTGTGGAGGGTGGCAACATGAGCTGTGAAGGACTGGGCCCTGTTGGCAGCAGAGCAGGCGCGGTCTTCGCAATCGCATTTGCCTTGGCTACCTCTAGCATTG